TTTGTATAATATGTGTACATATGTGTATATATACTTTCCTTATATGCTTGTGCCCCTATTATATATATATATATATATAATATGCCATAGTGGCTAGAATATTATGCCTTAGTGGCTGGAACACTATGCCTTATTGGCTGTTATGTTATGCTATTTATTTACTTAATGTAACACGAACTCATGATATCTTTGATATACGAAATATTGAAATTGTCGTAATCAGGTTTTTGTTGCCTTGAAGAATATTGATTCATGAGTTTATTGATTCGGAAAGCCTTTGTAAACTCATATAGGTTACTAGAGTTCGTTCCTGGGAATTCCTTTGTGTATGTGTATGTATACATCATAATATTCAAATGTTTCCCTAAGAACTCACTAAGCTTTATGCTTAACCTCTTAGATGTTGATTTTCTTTTACAGGAAGGATAGAAAGGAGTAATGGTCCTATGTAGGATTGTCGAGCTCAAAGAAGTTGGTTGATGTTTAAAGCTCGTATTTTGGGTATTTTTTTGTTTATGTACATGTGTTATATATATACTATGTAAGGGTAGTTCTATGTCCCTTCATCAACGAAACTTTTCTCTTTTGGTGAATAGCTTTGTATCAGGTTTTGTTTTAGAGTTGTTTATTGAATCTAATATTACTTGGTGAAATTAGCTTCCGCTTTAGTGTGGTGCTACAGTTATGGTATCAGAGCGTGGTTTAAGTGAGCCAGGTACCAGTAATGTTATCTAAACTTAAACCTAGGTGCTGATGTTATATAGTAACTAAGTGTCGATCTTTTCGGGATACAAACCTTAGGAGAGACTTAAGTTGGGGTGTGGGATAAAGATAAGATATAATATATGTTAATACATCTTTATGTATTTTACTTTCAGAATCATGGCCGACGATGATGTTGCAAGTCATACTCCGACAAACCTCGTCGTTGGAGATCATGATCCAAATCAAGGTCAGAACGATGATGAGACACCCTTGTCTCCTCGTGGTGAACAATTGATGAAAAAGCTCATTACGGTCATCCAACAGACGTTTGAACAACATAAGAATGAAATCGGTAAAGATAAGGGAAAAGAAAAGGATATAGGTGAACTCTCGAGACCCAGATCTGAAAGGGTATCATTTAAGGCATTTAGAAGCAGTGGAGCAACAAAGTTTACAGGACTCACTGATCCGGTAATTGCCATTCAATGGATTCAAAACACTAAGAAAGTCTTTCGCATAGCTCGTGTGGCTAATGAGGATAAGGAAATTTATGCAAGCGCGATGCTTACTGAAAGAGCACTTGTATGGTGGGATGCAACATTTGAGACCTTGAATGAAAACGAGAAAGAAAGTATGTCATGGGAGTCCTTCAAGGCTCGTTTCTTTAAGCAATACCGTCCGGCGGACTTACAGAGGAGGTTAGAGAAGGAATTTCTCGAGTTAAAGCAAGGCAACATGTTAGTGATTGAGAACGAAACTCAATGTAATATCCAATTTCTAATATGCCCAATTATTTGCTTAGTATGTTTAATTATTGGGTTAATTAGAGGATTTGGGAAAATTTTACGTCGAAAAGATACATAAACCGTATTTTCTTGGGAGATCTTTTTTGGAATATTGTTGTTGGATGTTATAGATTATCTCTTTATGAACGTGTAGGCGAAAACCTCATAGAAAACGGAGTTCCGAGCGAAAAGTTATGAATATTTTAAGTGTTGATGGTCAAAATGGGTACCTAGCCGGGCCAAACCGGCCCAACTCGAGTTTTAGCATTATAAATTAGAGTTTTGGCCCATTTTTCATGTTATCTAAGTCCAGAACTCACACACACACTAGAGGTGCGATTTTCACACATATATGCTTGATTCAACTCAAATAAAAGATGAACTACAAGATCTTGGGAGGATTTGATCATCAAGTAAGGTATAATATATATTTGCAGTTGTTCTTGGTTGACATTCTTGTTTTATGGATTGCATGTTGAGATAGAGTTAGGGTTTCATATGGGTTTGATCTTAAGTGTATAAAATGAGAATTTTCAACTTTTGAATGCATTGAAAGTATGCAGAATTTGAAAATCTGTATAAAATCGTAGAAAAACTCAAATGAGGTGAAGCCAATTTCCTTAGTTAGATATTTGAGTCTAGTTTATTTCTTATGATTAAGGCATAATTTCGAGCTTAAAATGGGCAAAACAGTTCTGCATGCAGCAGCTATACATAGAAATTTAGGTAGAAGGTTCAAATAGAATATGTGTATATTGTTGATCCCAGATCTCTCAATAACACTTATAATTTAGTTATAAATAACCAAATTATAATAATTTTATGAAGAAAGTTAAGAAGACTCAAAATTAATATATGAATATTAAAGAACAATTTGAGCTTCAAAGGTTTTACTTTTTTGATAATAAAACGTAAAACACTAAGAGGATTTTTCACATGTGCACGCTTTTTACAATAGACCTAGTCGTCTATTTATACTAGTTAGCTAATGCTAAGATAACTAACT